TTGACGTAGATATTATACACAGGTAAGTTGGGGAACTAGGGATCAAGCCCTGGGATCTGCCTCAGCTACCACGAATTGGTGAATACCGTTTCATTTTAAACCCTACACACATATATTATTTATTTTTATTTTTGCCTATTTTCCTGGGAAATAAAAATATAGTAAGTTTCACAGCCGCACTCGACCGCAAGTGGTCGGGCCCGGCGGTCACAATCCCAACCGCATGCGGTCAGCGGCCGTGGGGGATACATAGGGGCTGTGTACAATAGACAATCTGTGCTGGAAACCCCCGACCAAAGTCCCCACCCAGACTTGAACCTGTATCCATTATCATGTAACAGCTGCATTCTGTCGTATGCGCTACAATCCCAAATGGTACCAGAGTACGATGTGCCAGAGTGAGGATCTCATCAGAACCACCAACAGCCAACATCCTCAAGCAACCCACACAGGATCAAGACCCAACATACAATAACTATGACTAGCCCTTTGGTGGTGCGCAGGCAGTGTCTGTAATAGCTTACCTGCATCAGCCCAAGGGGGTGTGCAACTGACCAATGCATGTGTTATGTAAACGCCTGCCAGTGTCTCTGCGCAGAGATGCGCACTTTTGAACCCACAACCTCAGACCACAATGCGCATAACCACTGAGCCACATGACTCAGTCCAGAAACCTCCCTTCCGCAATAGCCAGGATAACACTGGGAGGAGGCAAAGTGCATTTGGGCGTGCAGGAAGAGGATGGGGACTCATGATGACCATCTAGAGATGCCCTTAGTTGACTGGCTGCTGAGACGGGTGAATAGATAGAAGGAGCCTCCCATTCACATACTGTGCTAGGAACACTCCTAGCGAGCTGTGCTCCAAAGGTCCTACCCTCAACCTGCACAAAAACGAACATCACTCAAGCGCTCTCCTCTCTTTCCTGTTTGTGCATCTCAAATGTCAAAGGAGAGCACCTGATGCTGCTGTAAATACACCAGAAGAATCTCCTGGCTATCACAAACACATCAGCAATCTAGCCTGTCTCTGCATGGAACTACAGTGGCTGTGGCCCTCCCTCCGTCTTGTATGTGGAGTGGTGCAACAGCTACACCTTTGTCTTTTTCCCCAGGAAGCCTACCACCGTTTCTTAAGTGCTGCTATAGTCTATCACTGGCTGTGCAGCATAGCAATCTTACTACAGCCATGCCAGAGTGCTTATGGAGGGAACTAGCATCCTAATTCGGCCCATCAACATTTCTCACGGGCATCAGCTGAGGAAGGACCCTGTAGCCTGGCCCACTCTTATAACCTTAGGCATGCCATGGTCTTTTTGATACCCCTTTGAATGAGAAACCAGTCCATATGAGATCTGTTGGGTTCCCAAATCAGTCATGCTTGGAGGTCTGAATGACTTTTACGTGAATTTTCTCCAACTGAAGATACCTGTACTATCTTCAGCAACCTTATGGGCCTAAGGACTCCAAATCTACCCTAGATGTGAATTGAGTGCAGAACCAGTTTGCAGGTTGATTCACGGTTTTCTACACATAACAAATAAAGCCAGAAGATTTGTAAAGTAGATATCATAAACAAAAACATGGTCCAAGTAAGGAAGGTTAGTATAACATCTTGAGGAAGCTGACTGCGGATGCAACATCCATTTGAACAGGTATTCTTTTCTTTTGGATGTAATGATCACGCATGGGAAACACATCCTGTTTGGGGGCTCAACAGGAACAGGGAAGACACTGTACATCAAGAATAAGCTCAGTGCAGGCCTGGATCGGTCATTGTATACAAACGTTTGCTCCACATTTTCTGCTCAGACTGATGCTAACCAAATACAAGACATTATTGACAGCAAGATGGACAAAAGGAAGAAAGGTGTGTATGGGCCACCTTTTGGGACATGCTGTGTTATCTTCATCGATGATGTGAACATGCCAGCACCTGATGCGTATGGTTCACAGCCCCCTGTGGAACTTCTTAGGCAGTGGATGGATCACGGTGGGTGGTATGACCGTGAAGAAAACGCTTTTCGTCATCTTGTTGACATACAGTTTGTGGCTGCCATGGCGCCCCCTGGAGGAGGCCGTAATTCTATCACTGCTAGGTACCTGCATCACTTTCACTTGATTTCCATTTCTGACTTTGATGACAAGAACCTGTCGGCTATCTTTGAGACAGTGATGGACTGGTGGTGTCAACGTTCCAGGCTTATACATGAGGTGAGATCCATGTTCCAGGCTTAGACATGAGGAGAGATCAATGTGGATATGCTCACTTTTCTCTTACCAAAATGATCTTCATTCATTGAGGCGATGGAAATTCAACTATTATTGCTTACCTGACAGTGAGCACGCCATCGTTACCCAAAGCTCAGTCATCATTACTTTTGATTGTCATTTTGGGGGTATGTCCTTTCACACAGACGGGAGGTTGTCTACATGTTTGGCCCAGCCTACGGTGAAGTTGTAAGGCATGGCAACCACGGACCCGGACCCGGACATGTCTGGACCGAGGCCCAGACATTTGTCTGGACTGGTCCAGACGTCCGGTAAACCGGACAGGCATCGGACCCGGACCACAAAAAATGTCCGGACACAAACAAACAAAAAAAAAAAGAAAAAAAAAAGACCTAGTAATAAGCAGTACTAACCACAGCTTACTGTCTTTCATTATTCACAACTTGACAGCTTCATACTGTTGCAGACATTCACAAAGGCTCACACAACACTTGAAACCAGTTCTCAACAGACCAATCCCAAGTCCCTTCAGAAAAAGAGTACGAAAATCAGAAAAAAACAGAACTTTGAACTTTGAAGTTAGACTTTCTAATTCATAGTAATATGAGAATTGAAAATTTAAGCTGTTTATTCACATCTGCGTAAGAAGATCTGAGATCTGGTCAGGGCCAGATCTAAGGCGGGATCTCAGATCTGACCAAAATCTTCTCTCTCTCTCTCTCTCTCTCTCTCTCTCTCTCTCTCTCTCTCTCTCTCTCTCTCTCTCTCTCTCTCTCTCTCTAGCTTGATGTTCTTTGGCGCTTTGCAACCAGCGCTTCATTTTTGGAATCAGACTCGTCCTCATCCGATGAACTACCTGCGTAGTACAACAGCCGAGGGAGCTGTTGGAAGCGTCTGGCGGCGTCCGGTAGGCCCTGAAATGGCCAAAAAATACCGGGGGCAGCCTAGTGCAATGACTTGCTGGTTCCAGGTTGCCTGTAGCCTCTCTCAGACGAGGCTGTAGCATAGGTAGGGACAGATTCATAATTTTGTTTGGCTGAGGGCTAACCGAGAGACCTACCTGTAAGGAAAATTCATGAGGGACGTATTTGTAAATATGGGAGATATGGGCCCAGTACTAACTCGAATTTCCTACAGTTACCCTAAATGCGAATAGCAGACCCAGGCTACCCCTAGGACAGACAGGCCCAATGGGCGTACGCCGATAGACGGTTCTATAGCCTATAGCCGGGTAGGGAGAGGCCCTAGAGGCCGAAACAGAAACGGTACCGGTTGGTCGGTCAATCAGTCCGGTCTAGGTCGTGTCTAGGCTAGTCTAGGGTATAGATAGGATGGGGACATCGATCCTGGGCTTTTGGCGGTTGACACTTCGTGGTGGAAGTGGCTGCGCACACGGTATCAGGTCGTGGTTGCTGATTACGGTGGTGGAGACGGCCGACATAACCAGACCTACGGAGCGCTGACCAGACTGGGGTCAACGTTGTCCGCTCTGACTCTCTGGGAGTCAAAGCGGTCTGTGCTATCAGAGGTCTGATGTGTTGGAGCACGTGGTGCACTGCTGACCCTCCTCAGGAGTAGGGTCCCAGTGGCGATGCAGCCATAGCTGCATCTTCTCAGAGGATATCATCGTCGGGAGTTCATCTTCATCAGGGACTGTTGGTGTTGAGCTTCTTCTTCATCACTTGGGTGGCGATTGGCTCTGGGAGCCTGTTTCATCTTGGCGCAGGCCATTGAGTTGGATGTCAGGGTGGCGTTGGGTGTTACCTGCGGTTCTGGTGCTATTTTTGGGTGCTCGGTGTGTGGGGTTGAGGCGCTACCCCTCTGAGGGTAGCGCAACAAGGATCTGAGGTAATTCAGGGAAAACGGTGCTCTGAGTTTCATAAACAGTTGTAATACTGTGTTTGAGTTGTCATCTCTTCATTGATTTCTGGCTCCGATACCAACTGTTATGAAAATGATTGTCCATTGAAATTTTATCAACGCTCACTCACAAAAAATCCCGTACACGCCCAGACATGCACAAAAGGAAGGGGAGAGGTAGTGGAGGGTCACACCGCCCAAAAAAGAGAACGCAGCAGGGATTAATCGCCATATCAAGAACTACAGTATCACCAAGTTTCAGGAGATTTGGAACGCGGGAGCACCAGGAACAGTGAATTGAAGAAACGGGCGAGATGGCAGCCATAGCCAGTTCAACTTCTTCTTCCAGTGTTTTGACCTGAAGTAAGTGTGTTCTTTACTCAAGTCTCTGTAGCGAGTCTGATAGTTGGGATTAGACTAGGAAAATCGAAACTATATGCCTGTAGACAGTGAAACTTGAAAATCGCACTGCCTGACAACCATAGCTATTTCCCCTACCTACCTACTTTGCCTTCTCCTCTCTGTCTCAAATTGCATCCCTGACTGTACTACAGTATTGCGATTTAGTACATATAGTGAATTGAGTAGTTCAGGGTCTGTATGTCAGTGATATTGAAATTATGAATGTTGCGCTGCCATAGCCAGTGCTTGAGGTAGCTAGGGTTTGTCATATCTTAGGTTCTGTCCGTTAGAATTCCAATCGGTCAGTCACCCTGAAATCACAATTCAACATTGAGTCAGTGTCTGAAAGCGCACTTCTGGGTTTGATGATTTGAGTCAGGTACAGTGATATCTGTACTTCGCCTCACCTATACTGGGGCATACAGGGTCCTATAGTGCCAGTGTCAGTAGTAGGAGTCTAAAAATAGCTTGATCAGTCATTCGCTGCATCTTGGTTGACTACTCGGTTCTGTTAATCGCTACCGACTCTCTGCGCTATTCTGACCTTCTACTTACAGTCCAAGGTTGCGACCTGTCTAACTATATGACATCCATTCAAGGGTTATTGCACTCGGATGGGGGTTCTCGTGATATTTTTGGCTGCTCGGTGTGTGGGGTTGAGGCGCTACCCCTCTGAGGGTAGCGCAACAGGGATCTGAGGTTATTTAGGGGAAACGATGCTCTGAGTTTAATAAACAGTTGTAATATTGTGTTTGAGTTATCATCTCTTCATTGATTTCTGGTTGTGATCACTCGGTTGTCTTCTATGAATGATTGTTGGGACTTCTGTGGAGAGAATTCAGTGAATTGTGTATTCTGTCACTTTGCTTCTCTGAGTCTTTCACTGCGTTTTCTTTTCTAGGCGGTGTGACCCTCCACTACCTCTCCCCTTCCTTTTGTGCATGTCTGGGCTTTGCATCATACTACAGAAAGTTCGGTAAGAACTTTTCGGCTGTTGCTGCACCCCTGATTGATCTTACAAAGAAAGACACCCACTTTCTTTGGACATCAGACTGTCAGCAGGCTTTCACACGCCTCAAGGAGGCCTTGATGCGTGCACCTGTTCTAAAGTTACCTGACCCTACCCTGCCCTTCGTACTAACTACTAATGTTAGCCAATATGGGATTGGGGCAGTACTTCAGCAGGATGGTGGGCATGGTCTGCAGCCAGTTGAGTATATGAGTAAGAAGATTAAAGTAAAGAAGCTGCAGGATTCTACGTACGAGAAAGAGTTGTATGCTCTAGTGTCCGCGCTAAAGCATTGGAAGCATTTCCTCATGGGTAGACACTTTCAGATCTATTTTGATCACTCCACCTTATAGTGGATGAAGACCCAAGGGGAACTGAATGACAAGCTTGCGCGCTATATTCAGTTCATTGATCTGTTTGACTTTGAACTGAAACACAAGAAGGGTTGCTACAACCGTGTAGCAGACACCCTTTCTCGTAGGCCTGATGCTCTCTGCCTGATCTCCTCTACTCAATACTTTTGGGGAGAGCACCCGTCAGACCATTGCCCAGTTATTGTCGCAGGACCCGATTTTTGGCCCGATTGTCAGGAATCTGCAGACTGATCCGGCCTCTGAACCAGGATACATTCTGGTTTCAGATATGCTGTACACTTGCAGCAGAGGAGAGGAGTGTCTGTGCATCCCTCAAGACCACCAGCTGAGAACACTCATTATGTCTGAGTATCATGATGCTCGCGGCCACTTTGGGGCCTTGAAATCGATGGTGGCCCTGTCGCAGCGATTCTTCTAGCCGGAGATGAGGAAAGACCTGCTACACTTTGTTGAAACCTGTGAGTTGTGCCAAAGGAACAAGGTCGCTCGCCGACCTCCCCTTGGTCTGCTGCAGTCAGTGGCTATTGATTTCACTGACTTGGGGAGGACCACTCCTCGCGGTATGCGCCAGGTCATGGTGTGTGTGGACATGTTCTCCAAGTACGTAGAGTTTACTCCTTTGCCAAAGGAAGCCAGAGTCCCGGTCGTGCAGGCGACCTTTGCAGATAGGTGGGTTACTCATCATGGACCACCCACCTCCATTGTCAGCGATAAAGATCTGCGTTTTTGCAGCAACGAGTGGCAGTCCTATTGCAAGGACTACCCCTGGTTAACCACATGTGTGATCAACAGGATTGGGATCTCCATCTAGGACGGGCACAGTTAGTGTACAACACATCTGTACACTCCTCCACAGGGTTCACCCCTTGTCGGTTGCACTGGGGACGTGAGTCATGGCAGCCTCTCAATGACATCCTCGATAAGGCTACCCCCAGACTGACTCCAAGGACTGCAGCGTTCACTAGACAGTATGAGAGGGATATCGAACGAGCCAGAGTTAACCTGCTGAAAGCCCAAAGGGCTATGATCCAGCAGGCTAACAAGCATCATCGACCATCCCCCATCCGCGCTGGTGACTGGGTCTGGGTACTCAGTTCTGAGCTATCGCGGGAGGAGGACATTTCGCCCAAGCTGTTGCCGCGTTACATGGGTCCATGGCAGGTTTTGGATACAGTGGGAGCTGCCCATTTTGGGCCATCTTATCACGTGGATGTTCCACTGCATCTACAAACCTACCCTGTCTTTCATGCATCCAAGCTGTTGCTGTTTGTCCCAGCTGATGCATTTCCAAACAGGCCTCCCCAATTTGGTCCCCCGATCCCTGGAAGGGATATGAGGTGGAAAAAGTTGAGGATGAGTATGGTACAGGCCCGGATAAGGAGTACCTTGTGAAGTTTCTTTACCAGCCCCATACTGAGGATCGCTGGTTTACTCGCAAGGAGCTT